TTTTATTTTCTCTTTTTTGTTCACTTATTTTTATTCATATTATATGGAAAAGTCTGCGATCCCAAAATTAGGAGCCAGATTTTACTGTGTATAGTGGAAATTATATTAATGAATTTTTTTAGTTCCCATATGCCATGAGTTTTGCAACACAGTAAGAAAACGTAACCAACCTACCATTCTTTTTAAGAGACAAATAATAATATTCTAAATCCCTGGTAGTTACGGTTGGTAACACTTAAATATTTGACCAAGGGAGGGTTTCAAATTAACCGTTGCCATGCTTAGTGGTTGGTGAGTTAAATCTCTTTGGTGAGATTTCGAGTGTCACCTAATTTATTAAAATTACTGAAACTATTCTAATGGTTGTAATTTCTGTGTATAATTATATTGTTATCTCATGTTTAGAATATTATTATTTTTCTCTTAAAAAGAATGGTAGGTTGGTTACGTTTTCTTACTGTGTTGCAAAACTCATGGCATATATTTTGTTGCCCTGGCGTTTCATGCCAGATTATGTTAAAGAAGGGACTGAGGTTGAAATTGGAGCTGCTGCCAATATCGAACCTTGGCTGACTTAGAGTCAAGATTTTGTCATAATAAAATCCTGTTATCCCTTGTATTAGGATTAAACTATGTTGTGACGTTGTGTGTGAACTTGTAGTTTTATTTTGTCGTTGGACTTTGGCTTTGTAAGAACTTAAAAGTTCCTAACTAGTAGTTAAAATTTTATCTAGCAAGTTATTGTTATTTAAATCTTATGACGTTTCAAAAAAACAAAATTTGGGGCGTTACAGCGTGGTATCAGAGCCTAGGTTTGAACCTTTGGGCCATGGGTAGTAGTTTATTATTTTTACAATTAAGAAAATCTTAAGTTAATTTGTAATTCTCGGTGACCTAACTAAGTTAGAACCTTTTTATTTGTAGGATGCCAGGGTCATCAGACATTAACTCTAACGAGGAAAATTCAGTGGAAAACTATGACATAGAATCTGACCCAAGTGAAGACGTGGAAATGCCTATAGAAGACTATGAATCTGAGCCTGAGCTTGACCCTGAACTTGATCCTGAACTTGAGCCTGAACCTGAATCCGAAGAAGTTGAAGAAGTTGTACCAATATACAACCTCCCGGAGGTTATTGTGATTGAGTCAGACACTGAGGATGAGTCTATGGAAGGCAATACCGAGGGGAACCCTGGAGATATAGGAGCCACGTTTGAGGGTTGGGATGTGCGAAACGGGTTGCAGATTGGCTCTTTTGTATATGTCAGACTTTATCCCCTCGGAGGTTGTGCTTGGAAAAATGAGAGTTGGGTGGGCACCTATATCGGACCTATCCAGATTCTAAGACAAGAGACTCCCTGGGTATATCAACTAGGCCCCTTTCCGGACGGTTTCATCGAAAGAGTGGGCGACCTTTTTGACTTTTGGAGCCTTCAGTATATCATGCCCGACCCAAGCAGAATTGTGAGGAGAGATAGGTCAGTGGACTTCAGAGATTGGAGGACCTATCGGGAGGAGCCGGTGCTGCTGCTAGGGCATCGTGTGTGCGAAACTACTATCTTCGTAAGGGTGCTATGGCGATTCATGGGACTTTTCCAAGCCACATGGGAGCCGGAAGCCCTGGTGTGGAGAGACTTTCCTTGGCTATTTTAAGGGGTCTTAAGGGAACTATAAACTAGGCTAACTGATTGTTTTGTATGATCACATGTAAAAGAAATTGCCTAGTTTAGAATTGTGAGTGTAGGAGTTAACTCGGATTGTAGGGGCTATCTCTTGCCCGTAGTATGTTATTTAATCTTTTCCTTTGTTCTATTTGTATTTTGCTAATTGTAGCTTATCTAATCTAATTAATGAAGTCTCTTTTTTTTTTACTGTCCTTGTTTTTTCTGTCCTTGCACATATGTATAATAATAATACTGATAATAAATAAGTGAATAAATCACAAGAAAATCCCGTCATGCAGAATGGCTGGACGAAAAAGAAATAATAACAACGGTAATGGCGATGGAGTGCCTGATGGCGATGTTGCTCTAATTATACGCGCGATTGCTGATAGGGTAGGCAATATACCACCCCGAAACCAAGATCAAAACAAATCGGAGATGATAGCAAAATTTGAAAAGCTACGTCCCCACAAATTCCTTGGTGGATCAAACCCCCATGAAGCTGAAGCTTGGTTAAGACAAATTAAGAAGTTGCTAGATACTTCCGATATCCGAAACGAACAAGATAGAGTGACTATAGCGGCATTTCAAATAGAAGGGGAAGCAGATCATTGGTGGGAAATGATCAAAAGTACTCGACAAGTAGAGACATTAACTTGGAGACAGTTCGAAGACCTGTTCATGGAAAAGTATTTTCCTAACTCGCTAAGACAGGAAATGATTCAAGAGTTCCTTCAACTGAAACAAGGAAAAATGTCAGTTGCTCAATATGCGAACCGTTTTGAAGCTCTTTCACGGTATGCTGCAGCCATAGTAACAAATGAAGGGGATAAGGTTAGGCGATTTGAATGGGGTTTGGACACAGACATTAGAGGAAAATTGATCGCAGTACAACTCTCCACTTATGCCCAAATGGTGGATCGAGCTTTAATTGTGGAACGAGAGTTAGCAGATTCTGAACGCATTCGAAATCAGTGATCAAGGAACAACAACCAACCACGCGGAGGAGGCCCAGTTCGCAACACCAGAAACCATCCTGCGCCAGCACCTTATGCCGGAGGGATACAGCAGCAACAAAGACAGAATCGAGGAAACCAGCAAGGAGGAAACTTTGTAAGTGAATGGAAAGGAAGATGTTTCGGATGTGGTCAACAGGGGCATCGTCGAAGTGAGTGTCCTCAAGGAGGGAAGTATTTTATGGATCAGCGAGGGGCACAACCATACAACAAATGCCAACCAGGGCAAGGTTCTAAGCCTACTCAACATGCCCAGACCAACAAGGGGCAGCCTCAAGCCTCTAAGAATGCAGGCCGACCAAGAACACAACCACAAGGAGCTGGAAATGGAAAGAAACCGGGAGAGACTAACCAACAGGCAGTAGGAAGAATGTATGCTCTCCAAGAAGAAGAAGATGTTGATAACCCATCAGTAATTCAAGGTATGTTAATCCTTATGAATTCTTAGGTTAAAGTATTATTTGATTCTGGAGCTTCGCATTCTTTTATATCCACTGCATGTGTGACAAGTTTGGGTTTAAAGCCAGAAGCGTTAGAGATAGCTATGAGTGTCGCTTCACCCTTAGGAGGTCAAACCCGAGTAAATCTAGTATGTAAATCTTGCGAGCTAGAAATCTCCGGTTCACATTTGATCTGTGATCTAAGAGTTATGGATATGTCGGATTTTGACGTCATCCTAGGAATGGACTGGTTGTCAGTTCATCGAGCCATTATTGATTGTTACTGTAAGACAGTGACAGCATCCTCCCTTAACGGCACGAAAGTCCAATTTAAAGGGGATAGACAAGATTCTCTAACTCCAACATGTCGCAAGTCACGATGGCATGATCAACTAACTGGATGGTTGGCGAGCCTAATTTTGGAAGACGAAAATCGAGAGCATCCAGGATTACCTTATGTGGTGTGCGAGTACGCTGACGTTTTCCCTAACGAATTACCAGGATTACCTCCAAAACGAGATGTAGATTTCACGATTGAGCTTCAACCCGGGACTTCACCGATTTCAATAGCACCACATCGTATGGCGCCAGCTGAACTTCGAGAATTGAAGGAGCAGTTGCAAGAACTGTTGAGTAAGAAGTTCATCAGACCAAGTACGTCCCCTTGGGGAGCGCCAGCATTATTCGCAAAGAAGAAGGATGGAACCTTAAGATTGTGCATCGATTATCGACAACTAAATCGAGCCACCATTAAAAATCGATATCCCTTACCCAGAATTGATGACTTGTTTGATCAATTAAGAGGTTCAAAATGTTTTTCCAAAATTGACCTTAGGTCAGGATACCACCAACTTCGTGTTAGAGGAGAAGATATACCCAAAACCGCGTTTCGAACCCGTTATGGCCACTATGAGTTTGTGGTAATGCCACTTGGTTTGACGAATGCTCCTGGGGTATTCATGAGTTTAATGAACAAAATCTTTACCCCCTATTTGGACCAATTTGTGGTAGTATTCATTGACGATATTTTGATATACTCACGATCGGAGGAAGACCACGAGCAACATCTGAGGACCATTTTGCAAATTCTAAGAGAAAACCAATTAATTGTATGCTAAAGCTAGCAAATGTGAATTTTGGCTAAAGGAAGTAAAGTTCTTAGGTCATGTTGTATCTGAATCATTGGGAAATGACCACAAAATGGAATTTGCAATAAAAATTTAGGTAAATTATAAATATATTACTTAATATTTATTTAAAATACGAATCACTTACAAATAACTTTCTGTTATAATTTTTTATTTAACAGAATTAATTAAAAAGTTAAATTTCTAACTATTCACCTATATAATAATAAAATTATTTGAATTATTAATTGAAATAAAATTTTAACATTATTAAAAACTGTTAAACTTATTTGTTATGAAATTATAAACCTTTGGGGGCATAATGTAATTTCTAAAGCACAAGGAAAATTTATAATTTAAATAAATTTCAAGAGGTATGTTTGTAATTCACCCAAAAATTTACTAAGAATTTGCCTGGGGATATTTTTTTTTGGTTTTTTTTTGTCAATTTAACCTCACTAAATTAGTTTTATTTGAGAATAATTTTTTGACTTTTTTTATTTTTTTATGAGAAAAAAGTAAAATTATTCTAATTTGAATGTAACATTTTGTGTTATTAATTTGTTTAGTCTATTTTGTCTTTTTATATTTTTTTTTTAGTCTCAACCTAAACCCAACTCACTTACCAAACGAGGGCTAATAGGTAATAATTTTTTGTGAAAGGGTAAATTACAAATACATCCCTTGAGATTTAATTAAAATATGAATCGCTCTACGTAGTTTTGAAATTTACATTCCACCCCCTGAAGTTTCTAATTTTATAACAAATTGCCCTTTTATTAATTAAAAATATGTTTCAATTAATAATTTAGGTAATTTTATTATTATATATAAGAGCAATTATGAATTTCATTTTTTTAGTTAATTCTGTTAACTAAAAAAATTTAATAAGGAGGTATTTATAATTTTTCAAATCACAATAAACAATCTATATTTTAAGCAAATCTCAAAGGTGTATTTGCAATTTACCCTTTGTGAAATTTCATTAAGGGTAAGAAATTTAAAAATTGTTTTACAAAATGGTTTTACCCGTGTTTTTTTTGCCTTGTACCACTAATTTCAATTTTTTTGTATAATTCTTTAGACACCTAATGTAATCGGAACTGCCATGTAGCTCGAATTGTCGAGCTCAAAATTGGCTCGAATCCAATTTCAGAAGCAGAGAAGGAAAATAGAAGAAAGGAGGAGGAGGATGAGGAGGACTGGAGGGGGCATAATCACAGGGGAGAAGAGAAGGAAGGAGGAGGAGGAGGAAGGAGGAAGGGGAGGGGCTCGGCCGACGGTAGTGGTGCTGCGACGAAGGGGAGGGGCTCAGCGGGACCGGAGGCGACGACGGTGGTGCTGCGACGATTGCTGGTACTGCGACGACGCGGAGGGGCTCGGCCGACGACAGAAGCGGAGGGGCCTCTCTTCTCTCCATTACCTCTTCCCCTCCTCTTTTTCTTTTCCTCTCTTCTTCCTCTGTTCTCTCCATCTTTTTTCTCATTCTCAGGCCACATAAACACATCCAAAATGACATTCGAACTAATTTCAAGCCAAGATTTTCGAGCTACAGCTTATTTTCCTAATAGCAGGCCCCAATTATTAGATACTTTCTCAAATCAGCCCTCAACCAACAAGAGCTGGTAGTTATTCTTGGAGTGAGGTCTATTAAATGTGCATCACTATGACTAAGAGAGAGAAAGTGACAGAGCTAGAGGGAGAAAGCTTCCATCACTATTTTTGGTCTCATAGGTATCCTTTACTTGAACCGCATGTACCCGGTGGACCCAAGCCCTTCTGCTTCCATCTTTGTTTACCTTTCGCTTTCTTTCACCTCTGTTTCTTGATTATCAATAATCTGCTTTTTGACTCTTATCCTTGTATCTATATGTGTATGTGTATCTATACATCTCAATTATTCAAAACCCACAATGAGAAAATGATGGGTACCCAACATAACAGCCTGCAGGTTTTTTTTCTCCCATCTTTTTTGTCTGTTTCTGATACCCTTTTTGCTCAATTTGATCCCTTCCTCTCTGTCTTCTCTGTCATGCATTTCTCATGACCATTCCGCTTTTGTTTCAAGATTTGTGTGTATGTGTGTGTGTGTGTGTGTGTGAGAGAGAGAGAGAGAGAGGGTTTTTTTTTCAAATTTAGTTAGTGAGGATTTTGGGGTTGGTCAGTGATTGTAATTGTGTGATCAGTTGGTGATTTTAAGACCCAATTAGAAGAAACTCTTACTCTCTAGGTGGGTTTTGAAATATGGCGTTGCTGTGAGCTGGGTTTGATGAATTAGGTGTACTGAACAATTTGGTGAGGGTTTCAGTTTCTTTTAAGGTGAGAGAGTTCTTTTGTTTCAAGATTTTTGTTAGAGAGAGAGAGAGAGAGAGGGTTCTTTCACATTCAGTTAATGAGCATTTTGAAGTAGGTTGGTGATTGTAACTCTGTGTTCATCTGTAGTTTAAGTCACTCTTTAGTTGGGTTTCGAACGTTGAAGTTGCTGTAATGTGGGTTTGAAGAATCGGGTTTGCTGAACAAGTTTGTGAGGGTTTTAGTTTCTGTTGAGGTGAGATGAGTATGCAGGAAAACAGTTGTAAAGAGAAGGGTTCGAATGTGGTTGAGAAAGTTGTGATTGTTGCTGTTAAAGCATCTAGAGAAGTCACAAGAACTGCTTTGGTTTGGGCTTTAACTCATGTTGTTCAACCCGGTGATTGCGTTAAGCTGCTGGTTGTCATCCCTGCTCACAGTTCAAGTAACATTTCTTCCCATATGTACACATGTATATATGAAACTGTATACATATATATACAATATCAATTTTGCTTTTGAATTTGATGAGACAATATCAATTTGCCTTGTGCTTAGTAGTAATTGGCTCTTCAAAAGTTCAGTGTATGGTGTATTGCTAGCATGAGCATTTTAATTTTACTTGAAAAGATGTTATAAGTCTGCTACAAATTAGTAATAGTGCCTCATGAAACAGGAAAGGTGGTTAGTTCATGTCTGATTTGTTCGGTAATTGATTGATTATTTCTTGTTAGATTGATTTTATGATATACATAAGATCATTAGTATTCTACCTCTGACTTTGGAAATTGAGTTTAGTTGTACTTATTTATTTGTTGGAATAGAACATGAATGATTTCAAAATATACCAAGTTGAATTTGAAGTGTGCAAATGTATCCATGGAATATACTTGTTAGATCACTACTTGTCCTAAAAGTTTAAGTTGTTAGAAAATGGGGTCAACAATGTATATCAATCTAACACTCTTCCTCACGTGCGATCTCCTCTTGCACATGTGAAGAGACAAACAGACAAAGAAACAAGGTGCATAAAGACAAATAAAACACAATGTATAATGATGGAGATAACAGGGGCGATAAGAATACCATGTTAAATCAGCCAATAGTCCCAAAATCTTAAACTGTTAGTAATGGGCCCAACAATGTATATCAAGCTAACAATTCTAACGTATCATCACCAGGATTATTGAGTTTGTTAACACATTGTGCTGCAGCATATCATTGTCAAAAGCTGAAAATCAAGATACCCATGATCAAGATGAATTCGAAATGTCTTAGCATGTTTATTTGATATACACATGCAATACGCTTTTGTCTATTTTGTTATCATGAACTAACCAAAAGAGGATTCTTGCCCAAATAGAATCAAGTATGAAGTTGAATGAATGTGTGCATTTGATCCGAAATTCTATGACCCACTGTAGTTCTTAATTTTTTACGACTATGGAGCATTTAATGTTGATGAAAATTACAAACAATTTGCATTTTCAGAGAAAAAGTTATGGGGTTTTTCAAGGTTCACCAGTGATTGCGCTGCTGGTCACTGGAAATATCTCTCCGGAACTATTTCAGATCAGAAAGACTATATTACGGATTTGTGCTCCCAAATGATGCTTCAACTCAATGATGTTTATGATGCAGATAAGGTAAGTACATATATTTTTATGTAGATTTTAGTCCATCCTTGTTCTACGTCTAATATAAGTATTCCCACCTTTTACTTCTTCACAGACAAAGGTCAAGGTAAAAGTCGTTTCTGGCTCACCTTGTGGAGTAGTGGCATCGGAAGCCAAGAGAGCTCATACAAGCTGGGTCGTATTGGATAAGTAATGATTATAGTATGAATCCCGTTGCTTAGATATTGGCTTTTAATTCTACATAGTTGTTTGGGTTAATTACACAAATGGTTCCCACAGTATGCTTTTTGTACACTTTAGTCCCCATTCTTTTAATTGTTCCACTTTGTTACACTTTAGTCTATAACATTAGCACTGTTCAAAATCAATAATGAGAGGTGAGCTAATTTTACAATTACACACACACACACACACACACACACACAAAAGGCAACAAAATTAAAAGATTACGAACTAAAATGCAAGAAAGTGCAGACTTTGGTCATATTTTGAGACCATGTATGCATTTGGTCATTTTGATTTTGTTGAAGCGTCTTGTAAAGTTTCAAAAACCCCTCCTCCCATTGCTGATTTTGAATGGCGCTGACATCAGGGACTGAAGTGTTACAGGTTGCATACTTTGGGACCAGGGTAAAACAATGATAAGATTTGGAATCAAAGTGTAACAAAAAGGGACCATTAATGTAATTAACCCTAATTGTTTTGTTTTTGTTAAATTTTTTTGTCTATGTATACTTTTTGGCTTAGGATTTGGTTTCCATCCACATTAATGTTTTCAGTTAATTATACTTGCAATGTTGGACAGACGGCTGAGAAAAGAGGCAAAACCCTGCATGGAACAGCTGGAATGCAATGTTGTGGTGATGAAACGGTCTGGACCAAAAGTGCTCCGATTGAATTTGGTTGGATCGCCTAAGACGGAATCTGAAGTGGCCTGCCCACCATCATCCATGTCAGCAGCATCTGCGGAACATCTAAAAAACAAGTATGACCTGTGGAATGTGATCCGGGTGCCAAATGTGACTCCAGCAAGCAGTCCGGAGCATACATCATTCACTACCACTGATGCCGGGGCGTCATCACTGTCAAGTTTAGATCTAGCGGCCTCTCCTTTTATCCTCTCTGAAATCAATTGGGATCTAAAGAGAGACAGTTTGGTATTTAATGAAGGAAATCATAATCTTGATGAGTCTGATTCCGACACTGAGAGTGAAGAGTTGAGTTCCCCTTCCCCTTCAACAAGTTTTTATTCCCGATCTTGGATGGCAGATATTCTCAGCTCTGCTAGTGAATTTTCAAAGCATTTGGTGGAAGGTTCACAAAGATCGAATGTCAAATCTATGACTTCCATGTCTGATGCCTTGATGGGGAAGTTCTCTGAGCTTGATCGAGAACATGAAATAGGAATGCTGAATCATAGGTTTGATTTGGACTTGAACCAAAATGTGAGAGAAGTGATATCATTATCAAGAAATGCACCTCCCGAACCACCCCCATTGTGTTCAATATGTCAGCACAAAGCACCTGTATTCGGAAAACCTCCAAAGTGGTTCAGCTATGCTGAACTTGAACATGCCACAAGGGGATTCTCACAAGCTAATTTCTTGGCAGAAGGTGGATTTGGTTCTGTACACCGAGGGGTCTTATCGGATGGGCAGGTTATTGCTGTCAAGCAATATAAATTGGCTAGTTCTCAGGGTGATCTTGAATTTTGCTCGGAAGTGGAGGTCCTAAGTTGTGCACAGCACCGGAATGTTGTCATGTTGATTGGATTCTGTGTTGAGGATAAAAGAAGGTTGCTTGTTTATGAATATATTTGCAATGGGTCTTTGGATTCTCACCTTTATGGTAATTCCTTTATATCCCCATCTGTTTTGTAGTCTACTGCTGCAATAATTTGGAATGCTCAATAACGGCAGTGATTTATAAGCATCACTATCCAGTTTGGGTTGCCTCTCTATTTGTTACTGTTTCTATTGCGACTTTAATTGTGGTTTATAGTAATTTTGTCAATGGCATTGATATACACTTTATTTTAAAATTCAAACTGCTTTAAGTTCCATGATAAAATGTTCTATGAGGTCATTGACCTAAGAAGCACGGATACAGACATGACACGAACATGCTGACATGTCAAAGTTTAGCTAGAAAGCACGGATATGGATACGTGATACGGATACGATACAATATGGATACGGCAATATAGCAAAACCTAAAAAAGTAGGATACGGGTACGGTTAGGATACGTTTGTAAAAAATAAAAAATAAAAAAATTATTAGCAGTGAGTTACGCATAAACTCAAGAATGTTGAGAAACCACAGTAACTTTATAATGCAAAATACTAATTTTGAAGAATTAGGTATTAATTTAAGCCAGTAGCTAGTTTAGTTTTTAAATTTTCAATAGGTCTTGCAAATATTTCATTTCAATATCAAGTTTAATATGTTGATATTATAATATCAAAACAATTCGCAACTTGACCCTATGCTTTTTCCTTTTGCACTAGTCAAAAATATTCTATACAAGTTTATTTGCTTATTTATTTATTGATATTTAATTTTACTATTGTTGTATTATCTTATTAATCCTTAATTCTATGTAGTTGTAGGGGATATGCATGATACAATGAAGATATGTTAATTTGATGAATTCTATTACTTTAGCTTACTATGTTATTTTTATAAAAAAAATTAAGCAAAGTATTGTAAAAATATTCTATTTGTCATTGCAATTATATTATATTATGATGTGAGTTGGAGCATTTGATACTTCAAAATTAATTATGAAGTATCCGATAATATGTGGCTTTGAGCATCCGATACTTCAAAACTAGGTATCCGATACTTCAAAATTAATGAAAAAATAATTAAGAAGTATCCGATACTTTTAATAAGTATCTGATATGTATCCGTAAGTATC